ATGCTTGTGGAACAAAAGAAGACCCCACGCTTCAATAATTACAGCAACCCGGCCTTGGAGATGCAAGAGGAGATAATGGCCTCTTTTTATATCCTCATCATCGTTGGCTTTTTCGGCTTTCTGCTGTTTGTCATGATGCTCAGCAACATCGTTTCCAGCAAGCCTGAAAATTACATTGACTATCTCTATTCTGGGAAGATTAACCCTCAGAGAAGCAAGGTGGAGCTTCCAGGAACAGAGAGCAAAGACACTTTTGTTATCATTAACAGCACTGCCTTACTGGAGCTACAAAGGCAGGATGGTAAATACAACACTGGGCCTGAGGCAACAAGTGCAGATGCAGTTCTGAGGAATGTATAAAAATGGTTTCTTTTTTATTATTATTGTTCTGTTGTGCATAAGGAGCTCAAACAGCAATAACTTTTTTTTCATTCATGAAAGCAAGAAAGGAGGAGCTGTGCCAGGAAAGAAGCAGACTGGTCTCATGCAAGCTTCCCACATGAATGATGTGAAGGTAACAAGTGCAACGTGCAACCTGTGTTATTTCAGCCCTAGGCCTTTGGAGAAGAGGCTGGGAATCACGTCCTTACTGGTCTATCTCCTTCAGGGCTGCGTGTATCATGCATTTTTATAACCTGCCTCTCGGGAGAATGGAAGCTCTTCCTTTTCATGCTGTTGCTTCAAGCAGGGCCAGTACGCTTCCAGCTAGGGCATCGTTGTGGTGCCTGTTTGCTGTTATTAATTTTTATTTGTTTATTTATGTGGTGGAGGGGTTGGAGCTACACGTGAGCCCACTGGGTGTGTGCTCTGCAAGCAGAAGAAGCAGCAGCTACCTCCTCATCCACACTCCTCACCATGCTGGGCACCAGAGGTGGTGACAGGCTGACCCATGGAGGACCCGTGAGACTTGTACTTGTGTGCTCGCTTGGCAGGCTTGGTCTGCAGCGGGTTTTGGACAGTGGTCATGCATTTCTCAGCAGCTCTCTTCCTGCACGTTGGACTTGTACAAAAGCTCAGGATGACAATGAGGTGGTCCCAGACATCCTGATGTCTCTCCAGGGTCCATCACAGGGCCTACCTGGCCATCATCAGGGCCTTCCTGGCCTCAGCAAACACAAGAAGGAGTGGTTTACCCACCACACAGCTCAGGGTTGTTCATCCCATGTCCTGCAGAGCCCTGGCACACAGGGGTTCAGGACAGTAGCTATGGGGAGACAAACAGCAGTGAGCTTCAGCTTTCTATTATCAGTGCATGCATTGGAAAAATCTCTGGAGTCTGGAGGTCAAAACGATTGGAAACTGCTGGTGCAGGTACTCTGAGAACATGAAGACATTTTGTTATAGCTGCAAAAATCCTATAAAACCCTATAAAATTTTGTGCCTGGGGGGTGGCGTTGCTGGCTCCACTCAGCTTGATTTGTGTTGCTGCTTTAGATTTTTGCTATTCATAGGAAGAAAGCTCTCAACAATTTAGTATCTTAAAAAACATTCCTTCCCTTTTCTCCTCTCTAATTTTTCTTAAACAGGGCATTACTAAACCTGTATCTTAATTTTGCTCTTTTTTAAATTATCCTTTGCTGCCATGATGTAGTGTTGTTGTCATGGGTTTTGCCACCGTTTGGTCCAGGCCAATTGCCTGGAAATGATTTACTTCGTGTGGTCCATCTCCTTAAAGGGAATTTCCATAGCCTGATCTCGTAAGACACGTTCCAAGGCTGATACTCCCAGCTGATAGCCAAGATGAAATCCACACTGCTCTCTTGGCTTTCCACACTCCTTGCTTGAATTCCAGAGATTCAGCTTTCCAACACAGACGTGTCCTTTTTTGGACAGGTGAATATTCCCCAGACACCGTCTCCAGCAGAGACCAATTAGGCTGTTCAGATAGTTTTGGACCCCATTACCTTTGGCTTCATCACCGTGTCTGGTTTAATAACTGCTTGGCTGGAGCCAGGATCCACTATTTATGCTCACTGCTCCTGACTGCGCTTGGTAGCCACGCTCCCATTACTGCAGCTCAGCTATTCAGATCTTAAAAAAAAAAAAAGAGAGAGGTGTTTTGAAGGTGGAAAAAAACATTTGCAGTTCCATTTGTTCCTTCTGCTCAGTGTGTGTATTTTCCACAAGAAGGCAAATATTGCAGTCAGTTTTGAAGAAGGATCAATTTCTGCCAGCACTGAGAAGAGACTTCAGCCTGTCTCCTTGCAGTGGTGACAATTCCTCCTGCTTTGTGCACTCATTTTCACGAGTATTAGAAATATGCTTCAAACATCCATCACCCCCATGAGGTTCTGTGCAGTGAAATTTCACCTCTTTTAGCGGTGGCTTCTCCTTTTCTTGACAGGCTGAAGCAAGGGAAGCACCAGGCTAGAGGGTGAACTCCAAAGCCCTGGGAAGTACTATTTGCCTCCCTGCAAACTCAAGGTGAGATCAAAAGAGTGATCCTCTCCCTGTTCTCTGTGAAGGAAAGCTCTCCAGGAGGGGTGTTTTACCAGGTTCCTTCCATCTGGATGTCTGTGGGACCATGAGCTCTAAGTGCCACCTGAGTGCATCTCAACCTCTATGCTGAGGGAGCTTCTGCATCACCACTGACTTGGGAAATACTCATGAGGAAGGCAGTCTTCCCAAATGTTTTTGGGTCGTGGTGGGTCAATAGGGATGAGGTGCTGTCCCCTTTTTCTGGCTGAGCAGGGGCAGCATATTTCCTTCTTTCTGGTGGTCCTGGAGGGTTTGTAAGTGCTACAGTGTCCCGCCTTGCAGAGCTCCTCTGTTTTTCATCCAGGTGGTCAAGTGCCAGTGCACTTTGAAACACTTTTCCTTTTCTTTTCCCTTCCTCACTTCAAGGAGATGCAAATGTGTGTACATACAAATTCCACAATGAAATATAAGAGCTTTTTCTCCTAAAGGTGCCCCATTCATACACATTCCAGGTAAAGGTGGCTGTGTATTTCAGCTTAGCAGTGTCTCTGATACTACCAACAGGAAAGCTGCTAAAGTCAACTTTTGCAGAGAATCCCTAATGCTGGAAAACAAATTTCATCAGTTTTCACAAGGTGCATCACAGATCTTTGTGGGAAACCTCTGGCAGTTGTATTAATTCTGTTCTGAGGAGTTTGGCACTGTTACTTGAGATATGAGCTTAATTTATTTTCTGAAGTTTCCACTTTTTTCTGTGTTTCCACCCTTAGGACATCTTTGATTTTGGCAAGTGCTTCTCTTGTTGGTTCCATTGTGGATTGAGAGATATAATTACACACCTTTGGAAATTCTCTTTTGATACCAGACTTTCGAGTGAGACTTTAGCTAGTGTTCAGGACTTCATCAGACAGCTAGGAGGAAAAATGGATTATTTAAATTGGGCATGGTATTTGTCAGAAAAAATAATCTTATTTTTCCTCATTCCACACAAGACTGGAAAAAAAGCCACCACAGATTTCCTGTAGAATAATATTCTCAAATATTGTTTTTTGGGAAAAAAAATGTACTTACATTTTATATAGATAAATATAAAATGTTAGATTAACTTAATTTAAGCTGCTGTACTTAATACAGCACATCAGCAGAAACATCCACTGTTTGCCTAACATCATGCCTACTGTCTATGTGTATTTCATTATGTTCCATATTTCATTATGTTTTCATTTTGTATTTTAAAATAAAGGGTTTGTGATGATTTTTAGCTTGTGTAAACATGGTGAGTGTAACCTAATCACATAATTACTACTGAAATGGGTAATTGGTATGTACTGATAATTGGTATCCTAATTGCCTCATTAATAGGGACTTTGTTCAGGGGTAATTGGTAAATTTGCCATTTAGCTAAGTGGTACACTGGAATTCCAGAAAGCACCAAAAAAGCTTGTTAAGGGGGGGGTCAGGCCTCACCGTCCTTCCTGGGCATCCCTGGGGAGTGCTCCACATGGCTCTGAGCCCACCACCCATGCCCATAGCAGCCGGGGGGCAGTCACCCCCATCTGGTGCAGTGTGCTTGGGGTGTCAGGTGCAACGGCTGTGCACCAGGAGGACGGTGGTCCCAGCCACAACCTTCAGGGCACTGCCTTGCTGCCAGAGGCAGAGCTCGCAGGCAGGGCAGCAGGGCAAGAGGAGAAGGCTCTGGTTCAATATTTGAAGGATGAGGTAACAATTGGAAGTGTCTTTTCCCAAATCCTAGATGCACTTCAAGGCAGGGGCTATGTCCATGCATTTTGCACTGTGTGGCCACGTTAGGGAATGTCACAAGTCTGAAACTGCAAAAGGAAAAATAGGTCTCTGACCCAAAGTGCTCACTGTCTGTGTAGACAATGGCTGGGAGGGAAAAGAGGCAAAAAGGAACAGAGCAGACTAAATGTAGCATGGAATATAAAATATGTGTTTTTATGTCAGCCTACTGCCTTATGTCTGCTGCCCAAGTTTTTTTATTTATTTATTTATTTTTTTAATAGTATTGAGATGTTGGAACCATAAACAATTGTTTCTAAAGCAGGTTAACAGATGGTTTTCTGCCATATACTTGACTGGAGCAGAGGGGAATCCAATTCTCAAATAAATCCTCTGAAAAGGAAATGAGAAGAGTTCATCCCTCTGGTCTCGGTATCAGCGACTAGCATCATAGTTAGTGTTTTTGTAACCACTTAGGTTCAGACCAATTTTATTAGGGGCTGAAGGAGACAGAGCACAGTGATGTCACCTGACAGGCCAGGAGGGACACTGTCTTCCTGGGACAGCACCAAAATACAGTGGAACAGACCTCGCCCATGCCTAAGGCCTCACAAGCTGAAAGGCTGGTTTGAGCCTCCTTCATCCACCTTGCCAAAAAAAAGGATAAACAAAACAAGTGGTGCACAACACAATTGCTCACGACCAGCCAACTATGTCCAGCCAGTCCCCAAGCACTGGCAACACCCTCCCCCCAGCCAACTCCCCCCAGTTTCATTGTTCAGCACGATGCGTGTGGCATGGGACACCCCTCTGGTCAACCTGGGCCAGCTGTCCTGGCTGTGTCCCCCCCGGCTCCTGGTGCACCCCCAGCCTCCTTGCTGGCAGGGCAGGGTGAGAAGCAGAAAAGTCCTTGACTTAATGTAAGGTAATATAAATTACTTAATGTAAGGCTTAATGTAAAGTAAAACACAGGTGTGTTATCAGCATTATTTTTTCTCTAAAGCAAAAGCATGGCACCGTAGCAGCTACTAGGAAGGCAATTAACTCTATCTCAGTTGAAGACAGGACAATCTTATATCAGATTTCCAGAGTTCTGATCTCCACGTGATGGTGCTAACATGATGTGGACCACCACTCATCTACCTCAGCAAGGAGAGCATGTAGACAGCTGAGTTAGCCCCTACATTCCTGCTCACACATATTTTGAATTCACAGTTTCCCACTGCTTTAAGGGAAAGGTGTTAAGAGGAGAAATGTTCTGGAGAGAACATGTCCTGTCCTATGAGAGAATGACCTGTCCTATGGGGTATCTTCATTTGCTGCCACCTTTCATTCTCAGCCTTGTAGGTACAGCTAAGTGTGAGCAATTTACCAGTCTTGCTACTGCCATGCTTGTTCCTGAGGTAAAAGTCTGTGTGAGCATCTAAGGGAGGAGAAAGGAGAGGTAAGAAACCAAGCAGGTCAAGGTAGTCTTCACGTGTGTGTTCAATAATACAGCATGAGCAATTTTTTCCCTCCCACAATCACTTCCCTTGCTCTAAAGGAGCCGCTCACCTTTGGATGGTGTTGGTGTCAGGCTCAATGCAGGTTCCTCAGGGGTTCATCTGTAGAAATGGGTGCACAATGTGGAAAGCTAAAGGTCTCTAAAAAACAGATTAGTCCTGAAAATATATCACCCTGAAGCAATGCCCAAGGCATTGTGATTTCTTCCCCCTCCAGGGCCTGAAACTGGGCAGGCTGTACATGATGGACATCATACACATGACTTCGGTGTTGGGATCCAGGCTCGCTGATAAGTTGCATCCTCCTCAGCCTGATGGGACCACTGATTTCCAAGATTGGGTTATTTCTGATCAGCCCCCTGGAAGCCCCAGGGCTGCTGCTGGCTGAGTGTGACACCACAGGTACCACCAGGGCAACCGGGTTCTTTGTGAGCTCGGTGGCTTCCTACCCCTTCCAACTCTCTGTCCCTTGAGATGCCAACATGCAGCGCTTCACAAACCCGCTTCTCAGGCACGTAATTTCCAGGGGCTGCTTTGATGCCGCTTCAAAGAAACAGTGCTTGCAGTATTTAAGAGCTCTGAGGGCTCTGCAGCTTAATGGTTTCAACACTGTTTTTTTAGGGGAAACAGATATTTCAGAAAGTCTTATTACAGGAGAAAAAATCGACGAGGAGGCCAGCCTGCGCTGGCCAGTATGGACACTCGTTCACGCTGGCAGCAGCCAAGGGTGGGTGCCCTGGAGGTACAAAGTGCTGTTAAGAGATGAACTGCCTGTCCATCAGCAGAATGGTGTCTTCCAGGAGCTGTGTGATTCTCTGACCACGTCCTATGGGAAATGCGTAATTGTGACAAGAGACAAAAGGCAGCTGACACATGTTGAGGCAAAAGATGGCAAGGAGCAGGAGACAGAAGCTCTGCCTCCAGTTCCACCAGTGATCTACATGTCTGGCATTAAGTGTTGCCCTAAGATTGCTAGAGCCAATGGCCATGAGCTGCTTGTCGCGCCTTCATCTTACAGCTATCTGTCTCCAATGGATGTTGCTTGGTCTTCTTTGAAATGGTTTATTATAAACAACAGGAAGGACTTTGCCCTGAAGTCTGTTGAGACGACCCACTCCTATAGGTGCATCCTCTTCAGTGACATGATTATTAAAGGAATAGAGAAGATGACCCCAAACAAATGGAAGGTAGCGATTAACAGAGTGAAGAAATGGGAAAACTACTACCTTGACACATTTTCTTAAACAGTTCTTCCTACAGTCACACCTCCAATGTGTTTTGATAATGGTTCCAGCTCTGTTGAGCCCTTCCCTTCAAAGGATATAAACTTAAAACAAAACAACCCACCATGCCAATAGTGCTAATAAAAGAGATAATTTTAAATTTGAATGTTACATTTCAGATGTATTCCAGGACTAGGACTAGTTCCATATTTGCACTGAGAAGGGACAGTTAATTTGCCTTATTGCAAAATGGGCTAAAGCATGCCTGAGGCCCAGGTTAGCCTGCCTTCTGGATACGTTCCTCTGACATGGGAGGCTTCAGACCATGCCACAGACAGAAATATCCTCAATTTTTAGAAAGACTGGGCTGCAAAATGAAATCTGTAGGTCAATCCCATCTCTGACCCCCATGGAAGATCTCCTCCTGAACAGGGAATATGCTGGACCATGACTGATGGCAGAGACCACAGCTTAAGGAAGCCAGAAGAATTTATTGTGCCTTGCCCATAACATAGGCATTAATATCTGTTATCAGCTCATTATGCCCAGTAGTTCATTACGCCTAGTGCCTTGCTTCTAGAAATGCTCTGCAATAAACATTTCAATGTCAGGTAAATCTTTTTTTAAAAGGGAAGTTCCTTTCTGAAGCCTAATAATTAGTGGTCGGTTCAGGCTTAAAAGCATGAAGAGTAGTTTGGTCTCTCAGGATAAAATATGGCATTCATCATTGCAGATTTTCCTTATCCATGACATCAATTCACTCTTCTTTGAATCCTGCTAGGCCCTGAGATGCAATGATTTCTCACAGAACTGAGTTCAAAAGATTACTTACGAGTGATGAAAAGTAGTGCTTCTTAACATCAGTTTTAAAGGTGTTGCTTTTCAAGTTCATTGAATACTTTCTTGTTTTTGTAAAGTGGCTCCCAATTTACTTTCTCCATGTCGCCAATTACTTTGCATGTGTTTACTGTGTACTTTTAAGACAGAAAACTAAAACCATGAAAACATAAATAAGTTATAAGATGATTCACAGGTTCACTAAAACATTTCAATACAGTGAGGAAAATCTGTGCAGTTTTTCTACAGTGTGTGGAAACTATCTAAATGAGCATTGTAATTTGGTGTGGCAGAGAGATATCTGAACAGGGAGTCTCATTTACCTTCAGAAGAATCTACTCATATCATACTCTAAAGCTGAAATATGAATATACAGGGGAAAATAACCATCTTTTCTCAGCGTCGTGTTCATCAGCAAAAACATCTGTTCATTTTTATAAGCATGGAAGTAGCAGAGAATGGAAAATAAGGTGCTTCAAATTCAGGGCAGTGGGGGAGAAAAGGGAAGAGATTGGAGAGAGGCAGGAAAGTTTCAATTGTCACGGTATCACGGTCCTGAACAAAACTTCATATTGGCTTGAAGCAGGAATTTTGCCACTAAATATCAATGAATATGAAGTGGTGTGAAAAATCTGATGACTTCACTGCTCTATTCTGGATTTACATGAGAAGCAGCAAGACCAAACACGAACAGAGCAGAGCCCCAGACTGCTTCCCCACTGCAGCTCAGCCCTATGGGTCCCTCCTGCCCCCGGCTTACACAACTGTGGGTTCAGGGCTACGTTGCAACACTTAGGTGCTGCTAGGGTGTGTCTGCTGCCATCTGTAATTCAGAGTGGGGACCACGGGACCAGGTGCAGAATCACCGGCTTTCCAGCAACGAGGAAGAACGGTAAGGAAGTAACTTCTTGACAGGAATTGATCAGTCTTCCCTATTTCATATTCTTTAGTAAAATGAGGGCGAAGCCTTCCTGAAAGCAAGCATGAGGAAAGAAGTGTTTGATGGCACATCATCCAGAGAGCAAAGGAAAAACATCCTTTCCCTGCCAAGGAGCAGGAAGGTTTGAGAAGGCCTCGCCAAACACCTTCACTCTTCCCAGCCTTCTCCTGGGAGGCTGAGGGCTGGTGAAACTTTTCTACCCAGTCATATTTAAAGTGAATGGAAACCTGTGGGCAGGAAAAGAACTAAGTCTGAAACCAAATGAACTTTGGTATTTCGTATAAAATCCTCTGAGATGAGTCCTCTTCTTTCTTCCTCCCTCCCCCTTTGCTGCTGCATAAGGGTAATTACAGCCCATGTTTTCTAAAAAACTTTGTAGCGCTTTGTACTGAAGAAAAATATTGTGGCTCATGCAGTTCTGACTCAACTGGCAATTTAGGATGACAAGCAATTCCTTTAACATATGACTAAACAATCTAATAGGAGGATGTTACCAAATAGCACGCACCTCATTCAAGAGCACTTGAAATAGCATGCATGAGTCCAATATCTTCTTGGTAGGATTTTAAATAGCTATTATTTTATTAGGTAGCTCTTGTATTGAGGCCCAGAGTGTTTGGCCATCGCAGGATGTCAAAGAAAACATCTTTGTTCCCATTCCCAGCTCTGTGACTGAAACACACCACTAGAATAACACGATTAAAGTATCTTTGGATAAAGAAGAGAGGCAGATGCAAATGTGTATGTTGATGAGGCAGCTATAACAGATGTCCCTCTCTTCTAAGCTAGCTGGAATGCAAATCACCTGAATTTTCATGATGTCTCATTGACTAATTACTTCTAAATGCTTTTCCAAGCCTTGTCTTCATGGAAGAAAAAAAAAAAAAAGGAAAAAAAAAAACCAACACACTTTTATTTTCTTCCAGTCCATGAAGCAGGCCTGTAACGAATGGCTCAAAGCACTTTTTTTTTTTTTCTTCCCTATTTTCAAGTCTACTGTCCTAACAATATGCTGCAACCCAAAGCACAGATGGGGCAAATGCACATGGGCCAAGAGCCTACAGAGACCCAAGTCAAGGATATAATGGTGGGACACAAGATTTGAGCTTCATGGACAGAGTAGGCAGAGTGGAGCACACTTCAGGCCATGCACGAGACCTGGGAGAAGGCTGGCCAGGCAGTGGAAAGACAACAGCTTTCAAAGCTCAGCCTCTGCCCCTGTGATCCTGTTCCTTGAAACCTACCGCTGAAGTGATCACACGAAGATAGAAAGGCACACGGGAAAGAAGAAGGAAGGCAGGGACAACATTCCATGCAAGAAATGCAAAAGAAGAAAAACCCTTTAGAAAACAAATATACATAAGGGCCAGACTCGTTAATATGACTTACATGCCACTTATCTGTCAGTGTCTGACCTTTCTTGTTGGCTAGCTCTAAGCCTCCTCAAGTCAGTGATGAGGCCAGAGGAATATGAGTCACACCAAATCGAAAGAGCCATAGGACTGGAAAAGTGCTACACAAACAGAAGATGAGGCACTGGAGAGCAAAACCAACCAGTATGAAGAAATCGAGGAAGAAAAAATGACATAAAAAAAAAAAAGACACCCATGTTATGTTCCTAGTGATGGAATGGGAGCAGCCATACACGTTCTTCGCCCTGTGACAGCCATCTCAAGAGCTTTTGGATAGACTGGAAACAGTCTCCCAGTGAGACACAGCCTTTGATGCCATTACAAACAGATATTTTCAATAGCTCTTTTATCAGATTCAAAGTGGGAGAAATTGATGCCATATGGAGATTCACATGAATACATGCCTAATCACTTATTTGTGCCCAAACAAACTTTTTCTCTACAGGAACATATGAGTAGCCCATTGATGTGGGGATAACTATTCTGGCAGCTATCAGGTACTCCTGTTATGAAGTGGAAAAGAGGCAGCTGGTGCTCTGATTATACCCACGATAGAAGTTTGATTCACACATAAGCCCGTCAAGGTCCAGCTGAGCCTAAACGATATGCTGAGCTTGCTCCAGTAGCCAAAACGAACCAGCTCGAATAGCCAAAGTCAAGCTGTGTAATGATGTAGGTTGTGTGCAAACACGCAGCCACCTCTGAGTCCCTGAACCAGGTGGCCACTTACAGCTATCCTTTTCTGGAAATGACTTCTGGCACATGTTGGGGGGTAAGGGGGATGTAAACACAGGTTCCAGAAATTTTACTTGATGTGTCTCCACCCACTCATGTGGGTTTTACACTTGCACGGCCATATAGCTTGGTTCATCTTCCGTGTGATCAGACTTGAGACTGTCACAGGGGTCAGGTTCTTCTAGTGAGGTCTGTCAGCTTCTCCCTAAACTTGACTTGAAGGCTGAGGTTAGTAAATAGGTAATGAACAGGGAGAGGATGCAGCAAGTAGATGTGTCTTTGGAAGCAGTTCTGGGGAGACCCTGGACAACTGGGCCTGGTGAAGGCTGAAACAAGAGAGGTGTGTGTCAGTTTAGTCTACTGGTTTCTCCCACGATGGAGCTGGCATGGATGCTGAGAGCATGTCACAGTGCTCCTCTAGGCCAGGGCAGGTCAAAAGTCAGCAGGTTGACAGAGATTCTGACTGACCCCACAACTGCTGAGCTCCTTTGTGCTGGAAGAGCCTTGTTCCAGCAGCCACTTCAGTCCTCTCTCTCAGAATCTGTTCAATATTTAGTGTTTTCCTTAAATTTAGAACAGCTAATTTATTACCTCGCAAGAATTTTGTCTTTTGTTTAGAACCACACGGCCTTCATGTAAGCAGAAGAAAGCTTAACGATGCAAACACTAAAAGCTTTAAACAATTATTTTGTCAGCCTTCTTCAACTGGGCAGTATTGACAGCGACAACATCCAACAGTGAAACACCCGTGCAAGTGAGGTGCTGCCTAAGATTAAGTTGCCCATCTGTACAACATGAGTGCTCTTTTTGAAGAGAGTCATTTTGGGGAACACGGTGGGTGAAGGAAAGAATTTGTAGCTCCGGAGGCACCAGAAGAGTGTGACCTAGCTCGCTTTCTGAGACGGGAACATCTGCAAAGGAAGCCTGTGTAGACTACCTGCTGTCCAACAAGCTGCAAACTCATGCACACTGCACTTCAAGACTCTCTCTTCTTGCTTCCTCCTTTTGCTTGCAGAAACTCAGATGAATTCTCTATTCCCCTTGTAAACTTGCCTAGACTAATGATATAATGCTTTTTTTTTTCAGTAAGAAAACAGGCTTCGAGATCCCCAGCTGGTTTCTGAACAGGAAACAAACAAATCTGAGCTGCTGTCTCCCCCCAGTGTCAGCATATTTTCTTGTTCAAGGCTGCCACTGTGGCACATACAATGTCCACAGGTAAAGAAACCTGCTGTAACCTACCCAATGAAAGGAAACACAGGTACGTTCTCCTTGGTTGGCCTTCATAGCATTGGTCAAGTCTCTGTCCACATATACTAGAGAAGAAAAAATGGTTCAGATTTGGGAACAGATAAGATCTCTTCTAATTTTTGAACCTCCAGGATATCAGCCTGCTATGAGACCAGACCCATTACAAGCACTAGGGGTTGCCTAGACTGTATTGCTACTATGAAGGAAAAAAAGAATAAAATCCAGGTTGAAACCAGACCTGAAGCCTTAAACACACAAACAGGTTTTCAGATATGGCTGTGGATGCAAAGAGGTCATGATGTGGAGCACTTCTGAGGAGACTCCTCATAACTGCTTTTTTGTCCATGTTCAATCCAGGAACAAAAAAGGGGCTCCTTGTGTTAATTCCAGTCCTGCACGTGTTTAGCATGCTATGTTCCCCCAGATTTTAATACCAGTCTTCAGCTCAATTGTTTTGATGCTAAATGACTTGCTTTAAAGGGAGATTGTGTGCCTTTGGTTCTGCTTATAGGGTAGCTGTATTGAAGAGGAGAATAGCTCTGCTTTCAGTTAAAATATACAAACAAACTACACAGCATTCTTACTATTGGACTAGAAAAATCTACTCCTGGTTGAGATTCCAAAAAAATCTAGTGAGGCCAATATTCAAAGGCAAACGATGACTGCACGGAGCCAACATGCTGCTTGCTTTTGAGGCTGGAAGACACTACACAACCCTGACAATTTCCTCTTAAGGTTTGGGCATGTGGTTTAGCTAAACTTCTTGGTGTGTTTCCTTCAACAATTTCCCTCAAAGCTGTTTAATGGAAGTGGTTAGAAGAGTCTGTCCTCACTAAACACCGCAGAGCCATTTAATTAAATTACCACTCAGTCCCATGTTTGCATACATAGACGACTGCTGAGACAGTGGAAGAAAACAGCTGATTTACAATGGTACTGAAAATTCTCCTGCCAGGCAGTCCTGACACTGCCCTAGGAAAGATACTGCTCTATCTATCCCAGGAACAGGTTTCTGCAATGCTTGCATTCCCTGGTCACCAAGGCTACTGCATGAACAGTGAGATTTTAAAAATCCCTGCAGCTGATGGTGAGTAACGCAAGCACACCAAGAGCTGCCTGAGCACCAGTCGTGCCAGCTGCACACGCAGTCAGATAACGCTTGTGAAAAGGGCACTGCAGCAGAGCATCCTTGCGTGACCACACCAGGCACCTCAGCCTGCAGCCACAGGGAGAGGGCAGGAGCGAGCTGTACCAGAGGCCTCCCATGTCCTGCTGGGGTCCCAAGGCTTCTCCAAGGGCCCTCCACCTCTGCTCTCCCCTCCTCTTCACTCTACACTGTCAGATTTCAGCATCATCTTCGCTTCCACAAGATACAAGGATCTGGAAAGTGCTTTATAATGGAAACGTGAAGGCAAACATATCTGTTGCCATTGCTACACATGCCTAAAACTTTATTTCTGTGCAAAAAAAAAACTATTCTGTTGATTAACTTACCATGACCAAGTTAGCTTACCCTCCAAGATTTGGTGTTATTGAACATGCAGGAATGGCTAGTAATGGCAATAAAAAAACTGTCTCTATTTCCTAGGCCAAGTAACAAATAGTAAGCCATACACAGTCTTCAGACACTATACAAAGCGAAATAATACAAGACACCTCCTATCATTAAACTTCACCAAAGGTTTTCATATTGACATTGTGATTTGCGTTATCCTAAGGTAAATCCCAGGTATGGAAAGTGGTTTGAAAAAGACCTGCCCTGAAAATCGGCTGTATTGGATTTGTTCATCCAGATTTAATAAAAGGCCCGCAAGTCCAAGATTTACACTCCTGCAGGAAGCAGTTGGTCTGCAGAAGCTGCACAGAAACATCCCCAATTCCTTCTGCCTTTCCGTGTACCCTGCACACATCCATGATGCACTCAGTGTTATCTCTTCAAAACCAGCCTCCTGCTTTCAGCTAATCTTTAAAAACTTCCTCCCCTGCAGCTCCAGTGTAGCATTTGAGTAAGCAATAACCAAGGCCATTACTTTTTTTTTTTTTTACAAAGTTTTTTATTGCATAAATAGAGGCTTAGATATTTTGCTGTACGTATAAAAAGTTGAGATACAGTTTAAGTGAATGTTACTCTTGAGGGTTTTATTCCTTTGACACATCCTTCATCTACGGAAAGCCTTCGTTCTCCCAGGAAAGGAATCCGAGCAAGCTGCCAAGTGTCAGAAAATCTGCAGGGTGGGGAAACAGCAGTGAGAACAGCAGGCATGATATGCTAGCAGCACATGGGCTAAATCTGCCTGCCCACGTGGCACGCTGCAATCGGAGCTAATCACAGCTCCACAGTGCTGACACGGGAGAACATTTTTAGGGCAGGAGCATTCACCCCTTCCCACAGACCCATTATAGAACGACACACTGACTGTCCTAGAGACAGCAGAATTTAGGAAAGACTGGGCCTCTGCTGGGCCATTCTGGGTGACCAAGAAGATTTTGGTCAGGGATGCTTTAATGCCAGTCATTCAACAAGGTCAACGACACACACCAGACCCACAGGCCTTGCGGAATGAGCTCCTTACCCTGGTGCAGCAATCCTTTGGGCTATGGGCTCTGCCAGGCAGAACTCTCTGCAGCCCAGGGCTGCACACAGAGCACAAAAAGGTCTCCTCATGAAAAGCAGCAGGCCTGCTCGTTCACAGGGCAGCGTGCCCTTGTGCCCATCTCCCATTTGTTTATTACTAAAACTTCATATAACTTACACTGTCCGACTTACTCAGCCTAAGCTGAAAGTAAAACGTTCTCACATTTTTCTGTGGCTAGCTAAACTGATTTTAAGAAAGAATTTAAAATGGCAAGTGTGCCCAGACACGAGTCCTCAGTATGATGTAAACAGGGGACTGAAAAACACCTTTGTATTTGTTGGTTTTTGCTATGTGAGTGAACCGCTCTGTTCCCATGGTTATTTCCAGGCCCCATTTCTAGTCACAATTTCCACTCCCCGTTGCATGAAATAAGACAGTGATAGGTTTGAAATCAAAACTAGTAAACATTTCTAAAAACTGAAACTCTCTTCATATGTCAGGTGATGACCTCAAAAAGGGAAATTAAGTTTTCTAGCTTAGTAAAGAGTAACATTATATCAAACTCCCACTGAGTTTACAAAGGGCAGGCAGGAATAGAATTCCCATTTTGCTTCAGAACAGAGAAATGTGAAATGAATTGATACAAAAGTCACATATCAAGCAAGCCTGGGAACATAATCTCAGAACTAAACCACACTCATTTTGCTAATGGATTTGATCCAATCAGGCAATGATTGCTTAAACTTTCAAAATAGTGGGAAGGAATCCAACATGGGGATTGAAAATCCCAAACTTTAGAAATGTAGCTATGTCCATTTAGCATTTTATGCAGAAGGATGTCCATTTTTCACAGTGAAGTATGGATGATGGGTCTTACATTGTATAACCTGCAGCATTTCTGTTACCTTGAGAAGCTTCGTGGCATGAGATTTGGCCCTTTAGGCTGAACCATCAACAATTTGTCATGTATTCAACTCACACGGAATGGCTGACTCTTTTCTATCTTAACTACGTGACTTAAGGCCAAGGGGTCTTAACACATCATTCTGTCTGGCATAGTCTCTCATGCAAATTTTGCCCCAATTCAACCATTTCTTTGTTTATCAGGACTTCCTGTGCAATTGGTTGGGCATAAAAAATTCAAGGTGATTTAGAACAGAAAATGAATATTGTGCTAAGATCCCCTAAGCCACAAACAATGGCTGACAAGTTGTTTGGTAGAAACTGCATTTCTTACAAAAATGGGGCATGATTTGGATGTGTAAATAAACTGAAGCACCACAGGAAGCAAGTATTAGAAGGACTCAGATAACTGTAATAGTTCTAACTGCACAATCCAAATGTATCCAAGCCAAAACATAATGGGATTAATATAGCAATGTCATTATCAAACACCAGGATGTCAAATAAATTCTATACCTGAGAGACTCTTCAATCATCCTTCTTCTCTGCTTCTCTTTTCAATTTCTCTTCACGTTCCCTCTTCAATTTTTCTTCAATTTTTTTGCTCTGATACATTTTTACGCCAGCAAACGCTAAGCAAAGAATCAACGTTTTAGCTGCCAAAATGTACATCAGCAGTGGGAAATTCTCCAAAGCCTGAAATACAAAACAATATATTTAAGCAGTTACTGGAACAATTGTACAATTAAAAATTATTCTACAGGGTTGCTATATAGCTTCCTAGAGCAATGGCATTATTCAAAGCAATGGTAATGTTCCTCTGTTGACACTTTTTTTTTTTTCTGTAGGGAATTTTAGACTAGGTATATAGCCCAGGGGGAAGGGCAAAAACAGGCTCACTTTACTCAAGTTTGCATATGAAACTCTTTTGAACAGGTCTTTGTTGCTTTTGTTTTCGTTACAGGAAATGGAGTATTGGCAAAAGCTGGAGCTGAAAAAAGGAAAGAATTAGGTATCTTAGGATGCTTATAAAAGATAAAATGCTTCTGAATAATTTTGATATGACTGATGGAACCATGCGTATCAGCTGTCAAGATAAGGTTCCTGAATGTACTTCTGTCCTCCTAGAAATTTTAATCCATGGGAGTTTAGCAATTAACTTGCCCAAGTATAAAAGGTATAGATAAATCCCTTTGAACCACAGAAGTAAAAAGGACACAGCCTCCAATTATCCAGCTTCAAGAGTTTTTAATGCCTGGAACCAGAGAAATTGCACAACATATTTCTATGTTATAAAAGCACACTTTGTAAGTGCATATGGAGTGGAAAATAAGATGCAAATGGTAACTCTGAAGTCAGAATACAACGAGAGCTGCACAGGCGCTCAGCGAAAGATGTCAATTCCAGAAGGATATTGAAGGTACATGAATTTCCCAGCACACTGGTTCAAAAAGCCACCTGGCCAGCAGGATCAGTCCAGCTTTTTAGTGATGCACAGTAGGTTCACAGTGTAAGTCCTCCCTTGGCAAGCCTCCCAGTAGCCCCCCTGCACCCTTAGAAGGCCTTCCAGCACCTCATAAAGCTGTTTGGCCATTGTCAAATACTGAATTTTAAAAAGCCTTGCATCCACACTCCATTAGCATGTGCCTTTAAAGTCTGCAAATGAAAGGCTCTTAGAACGCAAGCTGCATGCTACCTTTGACATCAGGCCACTCCATTCTAATTTTGCTAAAAACATCATTTTTAGTGGCAATCTCTTTAAACTGCAGCTCTCCAGCACCAGAGAGGTAGAGCCAAGGCTTGTGGTTAGCGTTGCTTTTATGACAAATGGTCTAATTGAACATGTTAAAATTGGTAGTGCATGAGGCACTTGCTCAAACATTTCCGTGCTTCACATGCGTACCCCGCAGAGTGCTTATGGCCCCAAGGTACTAAAAGATACAGCGGAGAAACCACCCTCTAGTAACAAAAAGAGCTGAGGAAAGAACAGCCAGAGAAAAGCCTAAAGACGAAGGCCAGGAGGAGCAGAGGTGAGCAGAGCAGAGCACTGCTCTCAGGTTCAAGGTGTGATGCCCCAACCTGCAAGTGTGTCTGGCAGGAAAGGACACCAACATCGACTCCTCTGACCCTGTGGTGCAGACAGCGCGGTGGTTAAGCCACCTTCACCTAGGCAAGGGAAGCACCTTTAAACACAAGACCACATCTAGGATCCATTTCCTTGAAAGAGCAGAAGTTCACTGCTTTATGAACGTGAAACATCCTCACCTTCCAGTTAAACGCCACCATCCTGGCTGCGGACCGATCCTGCCTGTCCAGCACCCAGCACCGACGAGCGTCACACTTCTAAAGGCACAGACCAGGGCAGAAGCATCTTGAAGAAATGGAAATTAAAAGAAATAGATATTAAAAAAAAAAAAAAGAATTAACCCATCTGTTTCTAATTGGCATGTCCACCCAGCACCTCTCTGAGGGGCTCATCTGCTGCCCAGCGCCCAGCAGGGTATCTGCGCCACGTGGCTTGGCAATGACCTTCGTGGGTCTTTTTGGGGCTGAGTGACAGGAGCAATGTCCATGTGGGGTGCTGCTGAAGGACAGGGGCTTGACGGGCACCAGGCAAGTGCTGCACTTGTGCACAGGGGAGGCTGTGCTTTCACCCCACATAGCACATCCCGGCAGCTGCCCGACTGAAAGCACAGCGCTGGCTGCTTTCAAAAGCCTGGCGTGTGTGCACATTGAGCTGCCTCACTGGTGGCTGAGATGTAGAGGACAGAAGCACACCCAGAGTTGCTTCTTGCAATTTTTAAGCCCATATGCCCAGTTCTAAGCCTGAATGCCTAATGGATCCTGGTATATGGTACCATTTCCCAATTCTCTCCTGTTTGCTCCTAAATTAATTTTTCAGTACAGCTCACAGCAACACCTCAGAGAACCAGCCAGTCAGCAGATCCCTCAGGTGGGCAATGTACATTTCAGAGCTGAACTCTGGGACTGAGAAACACCCGAGGGGATGCCAAAGGCTGCAGTACACAGCTGCAACATTGCCCTCTGGTCTCTGCTGCTGCTCCAGCAGTGCTGACGCCGTTTCAGCTGCTGGATTTCAAATTAAGCTCACTTCCCTGCCTGAGTGCCCCAAGGGATTTCCTGTATATGGAACAGCAGAGTCACAATTGGAAAGCAGGAGGAAGGCTTAGTCAAAACCTTTACTGGCAGCTGGGCTGAGCAAATCACCACCACACCTCAACAGCCGCTTCTGACCCATCTTCACAAACAGGGAGTCAAGGAAATGTTCTTGCAGCTCCTGTGCAGCTCAGGTAGGCATCCTTAGCTGCCACACTGCTCAGGTAGCAGAGGGAAGCCCTTCTGTTTATCCTAAACAAGCCCTCAGAGAAGCATTCCCAAGCTTGGAGGTGATAGCCCGTCTCACACCACATGGCTCAGTGCACATCATGGGGTGTTCCAGGATTATATCCCACCAGGGCAGATTCAAGTCAGGAATATCAGAAGCTGTGAGGTCAGCCACTGTTACCAAAATCTAACTATATTTGAGCAGTAGAGTGGCCAACTTGTTTGTCATTCTGTATTTACTGTGCTGACCCTGAGTGGTGCAGATCCCTTGTCGTGTTGATAAAATGTCAGGGTAGCTGTGAAATAACAAGTCAGTAGTGTTTCACCTTCAAAATAATAATTTAAAAAAGGCATTAAAACATCTGATGCTTCCTCCAGAATTTCAGTGGCCAATAAAATTTAAAAGTCCAGATGGTGACAGCCAAAATCACCCATCAGAGCAGAATTTGGTTCTCAGTGCATGGTCCAGATTGCTACATGCTTCTCAGGGAAGCCCAAAGTATACAAGCCTGGCCTGATGTGAAGAGGCTGAACTGCCCAAGTGGTCTGTCCTCATCTCAAAACCCTGACTTCAGTGGGGACTTCATCATCAGCCACAGCCTTCACTCTTCTCCTAAATTGCTTTAAATTCTGTGACTCAGTTGGAATCAATTTTGCAACACGTTGTAAAGAGGCATGAATTCAGCCATTCAAACACATGCCAGCATCTGGGATATGATGCTGAAAATGGAGTCTTAGTGATTTTTATGTACAGAAGAAGGTTTTGACTCAGCACACGTTATGCAAGCCCATCTGTGGGGTCTGATTGTAGGGTACTGTCCCACTGGTGAGAAGCAGCACATAACGCGTATCACAGTGTGCACTCCTGAAAATGCTTGTTTGCAAGGCGATTATCTAAACATTCAGCACAACATTTTAATATTTCCGCTCTGCTGAGACACAAGCCTGAATCTGCTTTGATTGTATATCTACTAGGAGTAGCTGCAGTGAAGTCACACAGCAAGGCAAGCAAAGAAATTCTCCCTTTGTTCTGAACTACGGTGTTTTAGTCTAAAATGCTTTCTGTGAGAGCTGACACTTTTGGTGGGCTGTCCTTACAGTGTCATCTGCAGCTGGAACTGAGTGGGGAAGCCACCACTCTCTCCCTGTTGCATTCACACATCCTGTGCCACCAGCCTCCAGTGGCCATACACTTCTCCCCACTTCTCCTCTTGACTCTTCTGATCTCCATCCTGATTCAGACCTTATTAAATATAGCTGAAACCCCAAGAAAGAAAAAAAAAAAAAAAAAGGGTGGAGCTGGGACATAGGGTGGAGAGGAGAAAGTGGAAGAGAAAATGGACAGATTCACTTCCCGCTGAAAAGTAACTTTTGTTACCACTGACGTTGTTAATTCAGAAGTAAAAAGCTCAGACACTGTACTTTCAAGGTTGTGATATCTTAAAAGCAAGCAGGCAAATAAACAGCTGAAGTTTCGTGTTTGCCTTTTCCAGAGGCAGATAAGGCAAAGATAGGAGTTCAGAACACATCTACAGTCAGGCATTGTTCGTTCCCCGAGAAAATACAGGCTCCCTTAACAAACACAGCACTACCAGGAGAGCGGGCCCCATGGAAGGTCACTATTACCTTCGCTCAGAAGCAAGAAGGTCTCATGCTGAGCCATGTGAGAAAGAACTGGGAGCACTAGGCTCTGCCTGAAGCTCTGCCAGAGACTTCATAATCTATCCATCACATACTCATATGCTCCTATGCAGGGCAAGGATAAAATGACTTCACTCTCACACGTGTCTGTGGCCTTCTTCCCTGTGACTGCACTTCACTATCACCAGCCTAATTACACTCAGACCTCTGTGAAGCAGATCAAACTACTGCAAACAGGAAAGGGAAGAGAGAGTCTGCCTGTGCCATGCACCCTAGCTCTGTATTCGCAATCCTCCATCAGCTCCAAATGCTGTGAGGTCTGCTGGGTCCAGAGCCGGCAGACAGGGTCACCAATGCAGCACTAGAGGCTCGTGTCCTCAGCAGAGCTAGCGAGCTCCCAGGGAGAGCTGCACCAATTCCCTAAGCTAGCTTTTAGCTGATGCCAGCCCCAGGATCTCTGCCCAATGCTGTGTTGTGCAACACAGACCACCCCGGACAGACTGACTTGGGCTCCAGTCGGATGGGAAGTCTGTGGTGGAGCACAGAATTGAATCCAGATCTCTCAGCCACTGAATTATAGCTTCACTCCACCACAGCAACCACATCACAGCCCAGCCACTCACGCCATTGTTTTCTTACGCAGCAGAAGAATATCTACTGGCCTGCATGCTCCAGAAAACTTCCACACAGGCATCCGGGTGCTCACAGCCCCACTTGAGTTGTCTTGGCTGAATTTCTCACTCAGCCTGCCAGTAACTTCATCTACTCAACAGAATGGGACTCGAGATATTCCTCTGTCTGCTGGGGGTTTCTGAGCGCCTCCTTCTTATTCACTTTGTGGAAAGCTTTAAAAGTCACCAGCCAGAAGGCCTCAGAAAGCAGCGAGCTACTTAAGGTAACTGATGCATTTAAAACAGTGATGGCTGAATATTCCCTCAGCTAGAAAAGTGACACTTCATTACACCTGTCTCTTGTTGCTGCTTTCTTTAAGGCTTGTTTTTCAGGAAACAAAATGCACGCTTCCCACCTGGACAGTCACTGGAGGATCTACCACTGCCTGCTGCGACATGCATCAGGCTCAGCATCTGGAAGTCAGGATTGAGCCTCCTCAAAAGAGGGAGGTTGCTGGGCAGAGGGAAAAAGCAGTAACATGACACAGCCCAAGGGCTACTGAGAAACACATGGAGGTAAGTGGAAGCCTGAGGTGCTACACTAAGAGTCCATCACAGACCTGTGCACACTTACAGCCTGCAGGAGTACGTATAGATCGAGACACCACTCTATAAAAAGGCCTGTGTAATCATTCAACTTAATATGGGAATTCCTAACCTGTCTCCAACTCTAGGAACAGCACAAACACAAAGCCGTATAAGACCTTCATACCTGAAGAAGCTGAAATGAAAATACGAGTGATTCCTCGGGCGGCTCCTTACACGCTCCAGCCACTGTAAAGTAAGCACAGAGCAGACGGGAGGTGTCAGTGGGGGCACCCGGATGAAAATAAGACCGAACCAACCCCCAAAACCATCGGTGGCACATCTGCACCTCGGCTCCCCGTCACTCCAGCCACATCGCTTGCTGCCACCACCTCGCCCCCTCCCCACGCAGCCCTCCCACCCGAGTGCCGTTTGCAACCAGCGATGGCTTCAGATCCCTCTCCGCTAGATTTATTTCCTCCAGCTCCTTTTATGAGGACGACCCCGGGGAGGACAGGCAGGCCGCGGGGCCGGCTGCAGGGCTGGGGTAGACCAGGCCGCCCTGCGGGGCCCCGACCAGGCCATCGGCGGGTCCCGCCCGGCCGCCGCCGCCCCCTGCCCGGCGCCGGGCGAGCGAGGGAGGGAGGGCGGCGGGGAAAGCCCCGGCCCCGCGGCTCGTACCTCAGCGGGCGGCCATGGCTGTGGGCGGGAGGGACTACATCTCCCAGCAGCGGCAGCGCCCGCCTGACGGGGAGTGCCGCCGAGGGTTTAGGGTGTGCAGTTTGTGAGGGAGCGGTGTGCTCCTCCGGTCCCTAAGCTCCACGAGGAGCAGGGCTTTGCTTTCGTTTTCCTGTGAGCTGTTCTGCACAGCCTGGGGATGTGTGCTGAGGGGGGGCTGCGTCTCTTCCTGAAACATTTGAGCTAAAGCACTTTGCCCCCGTGTCCCAAGGGCATAGCCAGGCTGTGTCCTCGTCCCCAGTTTTGCTGGTCTGCAAGTAGTCAGGAGTGGGGCACGGCCAGCGGTGGAAGCTGCCACTTATTTCTGATGGCGAGTGTAGCTGCTGCTGAAAATGTTGTTACAGCCGGACACCTTCTCTGGGCACACCTCTGCCGTCATACCCTGCCAAAAGCCACATCCTTTCCCCAACCACACCACGTGTGTAGCCAGATGGCCACCAGGCTCCCTCCACCTCATTGAACACAATAACTGCACCCTTACAGCCTGCGAGCCACGAGGATAAGCAGCAAGGAAAGTGGTTCCACCCAGAGGTGGGGCACAGTCCTAAAGAGAGCTTCAGGGCTGGCAGACACCCATGGGTCACCCAGGGGAGATGGGAGGAACGGGAGTGTGCTTGGTGGGAAGATACTCACCAGCAGTCTGCCCTAGGACCCGAAAAACCTTTGCTAGCACTCACGGTCCCAGACAATTAAAAGACTTGTTATTATGCCAGCTAAAGGCACATCTGGAGCACGACAGCATATGCTGTGCCAAATCTCAAGACCAGTCTCCCAAACAAGCCAAAGCTTCCCAACAAAAGAAGCACTTTACTTTCTCATTTCTTCTTAATTCAAGTGAGGCAAACTTGTCAGGAATGCAGTGGCAGGCATGGCTGAAGTGTTTCAGCCAAAACTTTATAAAAACATACAACAAGCCCACACAATCAACAGCCAGCAAGGAAGTTTTAAGCTTAAGCGGTTTAAGTCTGGCAACATGAATAGGAGCTGAACCCAGAGCCTTACAAAAAGAAGCGTGTTTTAATAGCAGAAGTGTTACCAGCTCTGCTTCTAATTATTCCAAGAGCCAACATTATGGTACTTTAGCAGCACAGGAGAAGACAAACCATCTTGAAAATCCATTTCTCAGCCAGTGCAAAGCAGTACCCAACATGGGAAGCCCTTAGAAAGCACATCAATGGGACAGCCGTGATAGCTGGGCATAGAAATTCCTCTGAAAACCACAGCAGGAGCCCAGTGGTTTGCACTAATGGGTTGCATCCCGCTAGTAGGGATGTGGCTGGTGCTGCCATCAGCCAGCTTGCATCCCAGATTGCTAGATCACTCTGGAGAGCTGAGGAACAGCAGAAGAGAGAGCTTGGCTAGCCATGGACTTGAAGAAAGATGGTGAACCTCTAGAAGCTGCCCTGCACAACCAGGACATGCTGTTAGATGAGACTGCTAGTCTAGCTGCACTTTTGCTATAAACCAGGCCTCCTCAGAAGGTCTTGAGTCAATCTTTGCAGCCAGTGAATAACAACATCAAAATAGGAGACAGATCATTAAAATAATTGTTTGGCATAAGTGAGTGTAGATATAGGTTACCTCCTGTGATTCATACCACAACATATTGTTCAATGAATAGATAAAGGTTTTGATGTTTTGTTATACAGATTCATGTTCTTTTTAAGATGGGCTTAGGTCATACACTTTGGATCTAAATCAGCACTGTTGACCACTTGAAAATTCGTAGTTATTTTGTGGCCTGTTTTTCAGTAATCCAGATCTGCTTCTGGATTTCAAAAAAATGCTAAAAAAAATTCAAGTTATTCTTTCTCATGGCTTTATTTTCCTGAAGAACAGAATATCAAAGCAAAGCACAATTATGCATTTTTCTTGGGTGTTCCCCAGAGCAGCCATGCCAAATTTCTCACAGAAAGCAGTCACGTTGATTTCCTCAGCAGTCTGTTCCAGCTTGACCTGTGTTAAGCTAATAAACATTTTCACAGCTATGTATAATTTCAGTGAGTTCCCTGCATGTGGCTTAATGATTTCCTCATTGCCGATGTTTCCAAAACATCAAGGTGATCCAGGACTTGTTTTGTCCCTTGCACCAAAGTTTTCATGGATCACACACTTGAGGTCTTCTCGATTCAGAACCTGGCTTTTATACTTCTCACCCCAGTCCTCAACGATGTACTGATGATAAGGGTCATGGGAGTGCTCTCGCCTCTTTGATTTCACAGTACTCACCAAAATTGCCACAATAATGAAGGAGAACATACCAATCATCACCATGAGATAAAGGATAACATAGTCAAAGTTTTCAGCATCAACCTTGGCTTGCAGTTCGTCTGCTGCTTTTGTCATGTTTTTCCTCCAGCCATTCATGTAAGTGAGAAAAGTTTCCTTGAAGATATCTTCCACCGCCCAAGTGAAGTTCCGTATTTCAGCCATCCTTCCAAGTTACAGGTACTAAAGACAACATGATACTTATTTTAATCAAAGATCTATAATATAGCAATTACATTCATCTGTTTTGTCTGCATTATGTAAATTAAATAACACCTGCCACTTGCTGGTGAAAATGTAAAACCAATATTAGACCAGCTAGAATCCGCATCTCTGAGTGATTCAACATGTTCAGAGGCCCAAGGAGGTCTTACTTCTCACTCAGGTCATTTCCAGTCTGTTAGAGTCCAAAAATGCCTTGGTGAAGTGCAATGAGCTCATGTCACCCACGTTACAGGGGTTCAGGCACGCTGACTCCCCTACTGAAGTGAAACACTGCATGAAGAAAACACATTTCACCCAGGAAAAAAGACAAGATATACATTGGGTTTTCTAAAGGGCAGCACAGTGCCACTCCAAGCAGTTGCCCAGGATCTCTCCACAAAGGATGTGACCTTCCCCGTATCCTCTTTGGTCTCACATGTTAGATCTAGTGTGAAGGCTGAGTAGTGCTGCAAAGCCACATCTCTCCTGCCCCTGTCCCATCCCCCCAAGCTTGCCCAGTCTGACTCAGCTGCTGCTAAGAAAGCCATGCAACAGGTGTCTATCCCACAGGAGATATCTCCCTTCTGCACAGGTGCTAGGTTGCCCCAGTTTTGTATGGGCACGGTGCAGATACCCCTGCACCATGGCCTGTTGGGATCTGTTTTTTTTCCAATGGTCTTTTATCTAAGGCTGGATTTCAGTGCTGCTAGCAGAGGTGCAAAGGGTAGGAGAAAGACACAGCTGAGGCTTCTAGACCATCAACCCCTGAGCAGAGCAATAGGGTGGGGAGACAACTCCTCAGCAACCGATGACTTAGCTCAAATAGTCACTGTGTGCTGATCCATTCGGGCTCACTCAAATTGAGCTGGGTCCAGGGCAGAAACTCTCACATAACTCCACTGAAGGAGTTCTCAAGGAGCTCTGAGAAAAGCTGCTGTCCTTTTCTGCTTTTCCTACATAAATAGGAGGGTGTGATTGGATTGCCCCCTGCTAGTCTTCAAAAAAGGAAAGGGTTTGGTGTAGCATTTCAGTCTGATCCTCATGTATAACACCTGTACTTCCCTGCTTCAGCCCAGATGAGTCCTACAACATGTGGCAAAGCTTCCACAGAATGTCTCTCAGTCTCTGTAGTCTTCAAGCAATGATGAGTTTACTACAGCCTATGGTAAAGGGTGATGGATTTTCATCACTAGTACAAAATTATCGTGTCTTTTCAGCTTGTGTTCAGCAGTCTGCCTTCCTCTGCTTCTTAGACTAGCCTTGCAATATCCTCATGCACAGAACAGGCATGCACATACAGAGAAGCACACTTATACACATGCATGTATATCTCTGTATGATTAAACACACACACTCAAACATGCAGGATAAAGGCAATCTAATGGAAGCAAGCAAGATCTAAGGAAATCCAAGCCCAAACTGTTTTGAAACTATTTTTATTTTTTGTGCAAAATCTCTCTGCTTGTTCTTTCATTCAGAAAGAAAATTACTGTGCTTTCCAATATGAAATAAAAAATTACCAACAGAAACTTACCTTTCCTGTGTCCTTTACTAATAAGATTCACAGTAACAACCAGGATTTTCAAACTCCACTGGATAATACAGTGATACTCAAAAAAGGAATAGAGGTATCTTAAACTTCAGGTAGCCTCCAGCCTGCTGCAAGGCTTTAAGCACTAAGTAAGTGCTTTGTACTGCACACTTTATATTAAATTAAATGTTAAATCTAATCTCACCTGGAAAGTCAAATATTGGCTGACAGCTTACATCAGTCATCCTGTCAGATGCTGAGCACCACTCTTTATGCTTATTACTGCAATTTCATATATTGTAAAAAAAAACAGTGCTTTCTAGGGGTTTACAACTTGGTCTTTTCTGACCCAAACAAAAGAGTAAAGATATATTCTATAAAATAATGATAAGAATAATAATTCCGTTCACTGATATGGACACAAGAGACTGAGCACTGATTAGGCACTGTAAGAGGCCTGCAGGGCTGCTAGCACCCAAAGGGAAGAATTTTGTACTCCCTCACTTCCATAGGGAGCTCAGACTTAAGTCTTCATTTCTTTTTCTGGTCTCTTTCTCCTTCCCTTGTTCCAGGTTTCCCCTGTCCTTTGCCATTAACAAGACCATAGCCTTTCTCTCCCTTTCTGCTGGATCCCCCACATTTTGCTTTTCCATTTCTTTCACTGGGGATGTGGTTGTTAGTGACCAGCCCCTCCATGAAACCTATGTTGTGAGAAGCTGCTCCCCCAACACAGCCAGGACCAGCCTCTCTGAGCTGTGCTTTTTGTGTATCTCGCTCATGATCAGGAGTGTGAAAAGACAAAAAAAAAACACATTAAAAAAAAGGCAGAATTAATTAATGTTGATTTTATTTCTCAGCAAACATGCTGACACCTCACTGAAAGTCACTGAGTCACACCGTAGTGAAATGAGACAGCTTCGGTTTTAGTCAGCCGTGGTTCCTGGCTGTGATGGGGAGATTCAGCAGAAGGGGATTAGGGTGAAGATGCAGACATCCACAAAGTGCTCCACAAGCACATAGTCAGGGACAGACTCCTTGTAAAAAAATATATATCTTCATTTTCCAGGTAGACCTGCCTAAGCAATTTGCAGAGAAAACAGTTTCGCAGGTAGCTCTGCTTTGAGGAAGATAAAGCAAACATGGACTACCACTGAATCAACAGCGTACATCAGAAAAAGGGAGATATGCACCTGGTGCTGAAAAGTGCTAATCCCCGAGGAAGCCCCGCTAGTGCCGTGCTGCTGACATCGTCATGGTTACTGCTATCATTTCTTCCGGATGATTTTCTGTGCACAAACACCTCCCAGCACGGGGGTGAGCTGCTGGCAGTGTTTCCTCTGTGATCCCACACACCTCTCCGGCAGTTTCATACATGCCCTCAACGTCAAAATAGCTGGCAAACTGCTCCTGCTTGCTTTGGTGAAACCCCTAAGCCAGAGGAGCCACTGCAAGTGCAGCCAGAGATGAACCCTACTTGGTCCTGGCTGTAGGAAGGCAGTGGGAGCCTCCCAAATGCAGGGCCATGAGCTGGGACATGGGAATGAGCGAGGAGGCACAGCCCTGGAGGTTAGGCCGCAAGCAGAGCAGCTTGGGAACTGCTGCCCTGGGCTGCCAATAAGCAGGTGAAAGGATTTATTGCTTCGCCAGCCAGCCTCTTCCGATGCCTGTTCCTGGCCAGTCCTGCTTGGCCAATACTCGCAGGCATACACTCACACACATAGACATATACACATACATAAAAGATGCATGTTGTGAAGCAGACATGGAGTTTAACTGCCTGCTCTGTTCTCAACCAAGCAAGAAGAGTCCTTGAATAATCCCACTCTGCTACGTGTCCCCCTGAAGGTCACATTTGCTCGGGGTTTGTTTAGTCTCTACACCAATGAGGTGATCAAGGACAGGCAGTGTGAAACTGTTGGAGAAGGAGGGGCAGCCAAATGCCTTGGTTAAGAAACGCAACGGCTGTAATATTGGTCTCTGTTTGGGACAGCAGTAGTAAAATGCTCCTGTCCTCAACAGAGAAAGGTGGGAATGCTTGAGCCTCCTGCACCCACCCCAAGAATGGCTAGGTCATGGCAATCATGTAAGGTCCCTGATGACTGGAAAAAGGCAAATATCTTTATGCTTCAGAAGGGCCATGTCAGCCCAGGGAGCTGCAGGATGCTCAACCACACCTCAGACTTCGGGAGGATTAAGGGGCAAATCTTGCTGGAAGCCATTACCAGGCATGTGAAGAACAAAAGGTGATTGGGAACAACCAGCTTTGGTTTAGCAAGGGCACAGTGTAGCTGACCAAGCTGATTTTTTTCTGTTATGAGAAGATGGTTTCAGTGGATGAAGGCAGAGTGGTGGTGTTCACCACCTATAGGATTGGAATGGGATGCTCGATTTTACCTGTTTCTTATGGAAAATGAGATTTACAGAAGATTATTAATATTGACCTTTGTCACACAAACAAACATTTCCCTTCATAGGAGCTTCCAGTACAATGTCACTTTTTTGACAATCTTTCATTAGTTCTTTCCCTATATTCCTTAAAATAAACAGTCAAAATTTACACTTCAGTTTAAATCAGCAGCTGATATATTTATATGCAGATTTCACATTTTTCTTCCCTTCATATTAAGCAATTAATGAATTATAACTTAAGATCATTAATTATATAGACTTAATTCTCAGAAACAGAAGAATATAGCTCTTAAGCACTGCTATTGGAGAGGTAGGAGTATCCTCTAATACTTATCTATGCATTTTTCTTCAGTATTTCTTCTGTTCTGGCTAAATCATAATACTGTACCCATTCACTGTGCCTCTCAGACCTTTGCATACACAGGTTTAACCCACAATCTTTTCAGCCTTTAACTACTGATATGCTATACTGCTAACTACTGATACATAAAGTGCTGATAGCATTTAATTAGTTTCCCCACTGCCTCACTTTTTACCTTCCTGATACCCTTCCTAGATTCCTTCTATTATTTACACATTTGCCTAATAGAGCATTAGGGAAATCAGCAATTCTGTCCCTCGGTCTAGCTGTTTCTTTTCAAGCTGTTGCTCTGCAGAGGATCACCCAGTAAAACAAAGAGTCCTACCAAGGCCATTATGTTATTATAGTTTGTCCTTAACTGTGAGTGCCAAAGTCTTTCCTCCTAAGATTACTCAAGATTACATCTACTACTTCCATTTGAACTATTTTTTCCCCACAGTGATTTTTCTTTATAATCCATTTTTTTACTACATCTTGGGACATCTTCCAGCTCTTCTGGTTTATCTTAACAGCGTTGGCAATTAAAGATGCTGCCTCCTTACCTTACATTTTGTTCCACATCTGTTCTTCTAAGTCTTTTATCTGTTTCCCGCATTCTTATGAGGAGCTACCACCTCTGCTGGAGCTTAGGCTTCCACCTCCCACCTCTTAAACATTTAACTCTTATGCCTCTGTTTG